GTATCCCTCCTAGGAAATCCACTGACCTTGTTCATAATCTTCAGCATCTGGCTCATAGTTGTCCGATGTAGGCTTTCCCAAGCATCTAACATAATGACTTCACATCCATAATAGGAATCTATTGTTTGCTTTCCTTCTGGTTTCTGTGAAGCCTTCTGTTGTAGAAGCTTTCTTCTCTACCTCACTTTCCTCGGACAATTGTGAATAGGATGTAAGTATTGCTTAAAACTGTCACTCCTCTGAGACTTGTAGCTCAGTGCTCCCTCTTTCTGATCACAGTCTTCATGGCTTCACCTTCACTCCTTTCTTCACATCCACCAAGCTGACCTTTCACCCTATTTCCTTGGTCTCGTCATCCTTTTCCAGAGCATTGCTCCCCTCTAGCATCGCCTCACCTGAGTTTAACCTGGATACTAAGATTTTGATGGCATCTACATCTATTACAACATGACTCTGCAACTACACCCCTTAAGATGTGGCGTCTATTTCCCCATTCTTTGCATCTGGGTGTAACCATGCGAGTTGCTTCAGGTAATAGAATGTAGACAATGCGCTAGTTATTAGACTAGGACCCAAGAGAACTTGTAACACTTCTATTCTCCATCTTAGAACCTTGCCATAGCCTTTTGTCTTCAAAAGGCTAGCCTGCGAGAGAATAAAAGTCCATTTGAAGAGTGATCGTTTGTCTCAGCCAATGCAACTTTGGAACAATTCCCAGACATGGACAAGCATAATCATGGATTGGTAGAGTTGTATACCTAGTCCACTGTGCTTGAGTGAGCCTAATCATGACCAGAAAAACCATTTAATTTGTGAACCTATGAACAATAATCAATGCTGACTTAAAAAAAAAAAAAAAAAGCATTGATTTCTGGTGTTGTCTGTTCTAAAGCAATAGCTAACTTGATAGACCCTCTAAACACAGAATTTTCAGTCTTTTGGGACCCACCCCATGAAAACAATCTCAAACTTGGGTCTCCCCTTGAGATCTACTTTGTATATACTTCTTGCTGAGCTTCTGGGCAATTTTGAATAAGTAATGGATTTAAAACTTAATTCACTTCACTACATCATATCATTACATCAACTTAATTCATGTCGCTAACCCTCACTCGGGCCCTGTGTGCTTGGCTAGCCTCCTCACTCTAGCCAGGGACTATTACAAAACTTTTCTATATTCTTATTCTTTAGCTCTGCCTCCCTCTTTCCAGGAAGAAGGTAATTTATCCACCTTTTTTGGATCAGAAGAAAGTCAATTGTGGTATACTGCAAAAATGGCTACAATGTTTTCCCTTCTCAACAAGAAGTGGAGTCTATGTCTCCATTCCTTGAATGTAACTTGCTCTGACCAATGGGCCTCAAAAATGCTGCTCTTAGAATTCTGGGAACATGATTTGTTCAAGCCTGCCTAGCCTTCTAGATGATCTGAGACACTCTGTCAACTGATAAGACATGTGAGGATGGCCATCCAGCTCGTCTAGTCTCTAGTCAGTCCAGCAGTTAACCATGTCAGCTAAGTCAGCCCAGACAAATCAACCCAAAGACTCTCAATACCTGATGAATTTTCGAGCTAGTAAATTAGAGGTCATTTGTTATGCAGAATAACATAAACTAACAAATACATCATCTGTCAAAGTTCTAACTTTGTCCGAATTCTTCCTTTTCACCCTGAGACTTGTGTTCACTCATCCTTCTTCTTGGATCAGACAGAACACATCGCTTCCCTCCCTATTCAGCAGGATGCCTCCATTTCTTTTGATTCAGCTGTTCTTGGGAGCTTTGTTTCACCATTAGACTTCTTTCTCTCCATTGGTTCCTATGAACATGCTACCATTATTTTATGTCTTAATTATTAATTTACTCTACTCTGGTTTCCACCCCTATCGCCCATTCTTCTTTGATTCGACAATAATTTTGTGGTCTTACTTTTCTAGATGTGTCTACAATACCTTGTCAAAACTTTTCTTATAGTGCAGAGCTCGCAGGTTTTATTTTTCCTGCTTTAATTGTGCCTCTCCAAGCATATACTTATTCATTCTCTCTTCTCTTCTCCTATTTTCTTGTCTCCTGTCCTTTCCTCTCTTTCCCTCCCCTCACCTCTTCCCCCTTCTCTCTCTCTGCCCCTCATCTAGACCAACCACAGCTTTACCTGGCCCATTTAAGCAAAGGTATCATACGCCTTTCTCCTCAGAACCTTCTATCTTACTGCCTACTATGTGTTTATGCCCAGATAGATCATCGATGGCTTTAACTCAATGATGCCCAGAACTAGAATCATTTTCTTTTCCAAAATGAGTTACACATCTTGACTGTTACACTTCTCTTCATTGCACCATCTATTTCTGAGTTCTGTCCTTGAAATCCCTGAGTTATGGCTGAGCTTCCTTCTCCTTAAAATCTTTATCTAATCTACCCACTTATGTCTATTTTTTTTCCTTCCTTTTCTTCTTTCCCTTTGGTTGCTTCCAACCTAGTCCATTCCTGCTATTACGGGTCATTAATTTATCAGGGACTGGTAGATTCCTGATATTCGGGACTGGTAGCTGTCTACCAGGCATGGTCTCATGGACACACTGATGATGGAGGCATAGTCTTGCCTATAATAACCTCTTTCTCTAGATATTAAGACTGTGATAAGTGTTATTAGAAAGTACTTAACTGGCCTTTCATATCTTTCCCTTTCAATGAATTCTAACAAGATCATATTAAAATTCTTGAAATAGTCCTGTAATTGTCATTGTTTATTGTCTTCTTAGAACCATTTCTTTAGCCCAGAAAAAAATGAACCACTTGTCCTTATTTGCATTTGTTTTCTCATACCTAAGTTGCTTCCTCCCAAGTTGCCTTTTTCTTGGCTCCTCCACCTTTTCTTTCTGTTCAAGCCAGGTTTCTGATTTCAGATTTCTGCCCAATTCAATAGCAGTTTCATCCGTGAGTCTTTTCTGGGACTCTTACTGTAAGTGAGCACCCATTTCTAAGTAGACAGCCCTTGTTATACACTGCCCTATGCAGCCACTGTACGGCAGCCCGTCTTGTCTTCTACCCCTGACCATGTATAGGGTTCTCTCATATAACAGACCAAGTCTTTGGAATAAAAGGCTAAAATGAAATAGCATGCAAACCCTGATACTCGTGGTGTCTTTGTGAGGACATTGGAAGTGATACACATTTGGTTCCTTCAAATGCAGCCCTGTTTGGAAGCAGTGCTTTGAAGGCAGCTCGAAGCACAAACATGTTCTCTTCTATAGCTAGGATAATTCTTCTACTCTGTAAGCTGGTGCTTTTCAGACCACTTAACTCCCTATAATTATTAATGTCTCCATGTACTTTTGTGCAAGATCTCTAACCAAACACAAAGCTCTCCCATTTTCCACAGCCTGTCTCTAAGACTGGCTAATGTAATGACCAGTGCTGGTACAGAATGCCAAAATCTGTATCATTACCTTGCTTCAGTTCTTTTTCAGGGAAGAACAGAACGACAGCTGTTAGCAAAGGACAAATTGGGCTACTTTTGTGAAGTCTCATTTTCTAATTTGCTTCACAAGGCTCAATGCACATTTAGTTTCCTACTAAATTACTTTGTTTGGAAAAATCTCGTTTTCTCAACTTCAACTGTAGCACTATGTGTATGAACAACTTCTACCAAGGACAATGAATTCACAAATAAATGAAAATTATAAATACTGAGTAAAAAAAAGAAAAAAAAAACATTAAACAACATAGAAACTGAAGTAACAAAAGTGAGTTTTATAAATTATTCATGTTGTTGTTGTTAAGTGCTGTGGAGTTGGTTCCAACTCATAGCAACCCTGTGTAGGGTTTCTGAGGTGCACCTGGTGGGCTTGAACCACCATCTTGAGGTTCAAATCGACCTTGTGGCCCAGTGCTTATCCTACAGTACCACATCATTTGTAAATGATTCATGGTTAAGAAAAATATTTAAAATATTTAATTACTGTTCCTGGACACCTCCAATCAGAGTAATAGTTAGCCAATAAGAATGGAAACCAACTTTAAATAACAGTTCAGTTGGTCTCTTACATTTGTTGTTGTTGTTAAGTGTTGTTGTTCAGTTGGTATCAACATGTTGGTGTTGTTGTTAAGTGCCCTTGAGTCTGTTCTGACCCATAGTGACCCTGAACAGGGTTTCCGAGGCTGTAAATCTTCATGGGAGCAGAAAACCTCATCTTTCTCCCAGGAGCAGCTGGTAGTTTTGAACTGCTGACCTTGCGATTCACAGCCCGATTCGTAACCACTACGCTACCAGAGCTCCTTGGTTTCTTACATACTGCTTGAATATTAGCACCTGGGACACAAAAGGTTTTATAGTGACACTCACAGGGCCTTCAAATGCCCATCTGATAATTTTATAGAAAAACAATAATGTGGATGCTAATATTTGCCTGGAATCCTGGTGGGTTGCTGTGGTTAATGTGCTGGACTGCAAAATTGCTTTCAATGGAAAGGTTGGTGGTCCAACCTTACCAGCCACTCCTTGGAAACCCTATACATGGTCACTATGGGTCAGAACTGACTAGGCAGTACTAGATAACAACAACAACAACAACAACATTTGCCTAGGGGACCAATTAACAACAAGGAAATCTAGAAATGTTCCAACAATGGGGACCCTTGGTTCATGAACTCATTGCCTGTCCAGATAAATGTTTATGATAGTATCCAAAAGAGTATGGAGGTGATCTAAATCATCAATATGTGAAAACCTTTTTTTTTCCCCCATAAAGAAAAAACATAAACATTTACAGTTTTGGGAATCAAGTTACAGAGGATCCTACAGATGAAAACCATTGATGATTTGGTACTAAACACTCAGGGAAATTAAACAGTTTGTCAAATCTACAAGGAAACATACTACTTTTGAGGTTTATGGGACAATGAAAATTGGTAACTAAAAATTCTAAATACCTTCATACAAAAGTCTTTTCAGAAAGACTCTACAATTGCCAGAACAGATCAGGTGCCCAAAGAACTCGCCCTACCTTTCTTGGTTTCCATGCCAGACCCCAGGGCTGCTGTAGTGGTTGGTCTGAGCTCAGAGCTACTCTGAGGAGTCACGTTTGCTTTGGCAGTGTTGGCTTTTCCTTTCTTGTCATTCTTTGAAGTGTCACTGGGCACATCTGCGATGTCACTCTGGAATAGAAAAAAATGACCCAAATGAATGATATATTGAGATATGATATCTCAATTCTTACACATCATTAAGATACCACTCAATTTTTCCCCTTCCATTTCAAAGACTTCTATTTTAATGGCTTTCTGCCTGGCAGGAGTAAAGATTACATGGTTTCTTTAGGCTTGAAACAAAGGATCAAGCCAAGAAAAAAAATGATCCAACTACTTTACAAGCACGGCACACTTTCTCAATGTCTAGATACTAGGAATGTTGATGCTTCCACTCCATACTGAGGAGTATGGTTAAGGGAGCATCTAAAAATAAACAAAGTGTGCACTGGGGTAAATGAGAAGATTAGGGTTCAGTACTGGTAGAAACATACACAACAAAACAAACAATAAATGCTATGTTGTTAGTTCACTGGATTGGGCTAGCTGGTGTTGCAGTGTGTCATAGATACTTCTTAAAATTTCTTAAAAGTGTCATAGATGCTTTCATTTTGCTTCTATTGGGAAAGGGGTCCCCAGACGTGAATCAAAACACTGGTAATGGATGATGGTAGTCTTTTACACTATGGTCATATTTTGTTAAATATATTATGCTTTAGTAGGCCAATGAAATATTGAATTGATACACTCCTTTAGGAAAAAAAAAACCTTTTGAATTCATTATATTATTACTTCAATATTCTTTTACAATCACTGTTTTACAGTTGACCTCCTTAACTTGTCTGTATTAATCTACCATTGCTACTTACGGTTTCAATACCCATAGCTCTCATTTGATCTGCTCTCTTTTCCGTAATTGAGAGAAATTTCTTTGGATCCGACAATGCATCCACAATATCTGAAAGAAAAACACTGAGCTTCTAATTCCATTCTATTGAAAGTGTACCAAGAAACTCAGCCAGTAAACTATTCACTGTAGTTATTTGTATGATTTTGAACAAACTGATTAACATTCACAGACTCAGTTTCTTCATTTAAAGCATTAGGGCTAGGATCATCTATCTACCCTGAAGGGTTACTGTAAGAATTCAATAAGATGATGAGTACACATTGTTCCTAGTAGATGTCACAAGTGCTAACTATTTTTAGAACCAAAAGACTAAATTATATTTAGTTGGGCAAATCGGCTGCAAAATACCTCTTTAAAATATTAAAAAGCAAAGATGCCATTTTGAGGATTAAAGTACA